TAGGCTAGCTGGTGGTATCCATNCAAGAATAAAAAGTATCATTCAGTTCAAGGATCCTATATGTGTTATATTGGTTAAATACTGGAAATGCTACCTTACCGCAATTAACTTTCATGTTATTGGCAAGTCAACTAGTAGGTCTGATGTATATAAATCATCACACAGCAACTTCTTAGGNCGCAATTAACTTTCATGTTACTGGCAAGTCAACTAGTAGGTCTGATGTATATAAATCATCACACAGCAACTTCTTAGGCTAGCTGGTGGTATCCATGACAATTGATTAATCCAAGCAAACCAGAATAACAAGTCATTCATGAGGAATACTTGAATTATTCATTTGTCTTCATAATAATAGGTGTGTACATAAGAAACCATAATACAGCCACTTCTTAGGTCAACTGATGGTATTATTTATAACACAACAACTTCTTAGGTTAGCTGGTTATAGATATGTCAATTGACTAATCCAAGCAAACCAGAAGGTCAAGTCATTCATGAGAAATACTTGAATTATTCATTTGACTCTATCTGTGATATATATATACCAGTTAAACATCCTCAGCATTCTGGTGGAGAATAAATTATACCGATAGGAATGCCGTGGTTGTTAGACTGATAATATTATTATTTATACCAATTAAAAGATCTGAGTAATCCAGAAGGACAAGTCATTCATGAGGATCATTTAGGTTTTGTACCATGCATCAGTTAACATCTTCAGCGTTTCGGTGGAGGACAAACTATACCGATAGGAATATCGTGGTTGTTTTACCAGCAGGTTGATGATGCGCTGATGACATACTTCCAAGCTCAGCATCAAAAGTACATACATTACTGTATCATGTATGAAGCATATAATACATAAATTTATAAATNAAGGACAAACTATACCGATAGGAATATCGTGGTTGTTTTACAGGCAGGTTGATGATGCGCTGATGACATACTTCCAAGCTCAGCATCAAAAGTACATACATTACTGTATCATGTATGAAGCATATAATACATAAATTTATAAATATATAAAACATCAGCATTTTTAGAATTTAACCAGTATTATACATATGTTTACCTCTCACTGGAGTATATACGGAACTACTCACGCCCCATTACTACAGACAAGCAAGGAGTGTAAACAGTTTTCATTATAACTAAAATTAAAATGCAGAATCTAAAATGTCTTTCACAAGGAACAACTGAAACACAATCACCTTTATTATTAGTTATGACAAAAAGGTGACGGCAGTTCAATTATCTGAATAGAAAGATACAACAGAAATGTAAAAGTACAAAGTTTGGACTGAAGTGCNTTTTCTGAATAGAAAGATACAACAGAAATGTAAAAGTACAAAGTTTGGACTGAAGTGCATCACAGACCGGATCATTTTTACCTCTTTTCTCTCTTGGTTTTCTCTCTGGAGCTCTCTTGGTTTTCTCTTGGTTCCGACCTATGAAGAATGAAGAGGAGATGCCTATTTATAAAAGAAGAAGAAGCAAGAGCTGGCAAAATAAAGATAGCTGTCAAGAGTGACCATCCGGACGGTGAAGCTTTTCTGGAATTTCCCACTTGTTTTGTATGCTGACTCCTCTTGCGTTGAAATTGTCCTTTGGTCTTTGTTCTTTTATGCTTTTATACATTGCTCCTTATATTGTGTAGAAATTTTGCATTAAACCTTAAACTTTTTAAACATAACACGCATCAAACCCTAATTACACACAGACCCTAATTGACTTTAATTACTAGTTTTTAGTTATTTTATCACACTAATTCGACTTTATTAACTACTTGTATTTATATACTACTTAAGGTTAATTATTGCCCACCTAATAAGTTTCTAACCATTCTATGACTACAGATTGGAGTCTGTACGGTTGACTATATGGGGGTGATCTAGTAGACAATGAAGTACAGTTACTTGCTGAGTTGCTTCCAGAAAAACCAGTAGTTTCAATATCTACTGCAAAAGGGTCCTCATACAAAGGTATTAAACAATAATTTATCAATTAGTGAAGCATTCAAAAACTTTCCGAATTATTCTTATTACATTGCAGGTGAATTTCAACTCACGACAACATTTGTTACGACAATTGAAATAAATCCAAAGTTAGAGAAGACATACCAATGCGATAATGGTATACAATGAGAATGCTTGATATCTGTATAAAATTGTAAAATTACTATTAACCAAGACCAAAAAAAAAAGAGCTCTCACATAATGAAAAAAAAAAAAAGAAATGTAGGTTAACTTCTTTTCTTGAAAAAAGGAATGCAAAGCAATTATTAGCTCCACCGTAAAGAAACCGTGATGCAGAAAATGTCACAATTGTTGACATCATGAATGCTACACCATCCACAGTGATGGTATGAGTTCAATACATATTAGCAATTATAGTTCTCAACAACATTGATAAAATTACCTTGACTATCTATTTATTTAAAATTTTAGAAACCTTTCTGCTTTTTGAGTGCAATGAATCTGGAGATTGAGAATAAAGATGAACCATGGTATGATACCAGCAAACAATGTCAGAGTAGAGTTTTCAATACTAGACAAGGACCAGAATGAAAGAAGTGCAAGAAAAACAATGTCGAACACACTCCGAGGTAAATAACTAAAATTATTCCCCATTGGTCATTACAATGTACAATTTCATTATGGAATACCTACTTTCAATCAAGTAAATTATAACTTATGTGGACAATCCACATATCACAGATATATAGTAAAGCCCATTGTGTCGGATGGAGACCAAAGCGCTCGGATAACTTTGTTCGATGCAACAAAAACTTTGGTAGGATGTACAATTTCGGAGTTTATTGAATCAAAAACACATGTACAAAATATTTTTAAAAAACAAACCGATACAAAAAATGGCAACTACTAACTAAAATTACATATACATCAGAACAACATGCACTGCAAGTTCTACAGAAAGCTAATTTTGTGCAATGGAAGATACTACAAATTTTTAATAAGGATGCGCAAAATCAATGAAGATGGTCGATCATAAGGACACTTTGTGGCACAAGAAGTGGAGAAAACAGAAGATCCAAAAACAAGTAAAGAATAAACAAGGAAAAAGGCAAAAAAAATAGAAAGACTATTGCCCTTAAGAATGGCAAGCTGGAAAAAGATGGCCACAACAGAAAACAGGATATATCTTTCTCCCTTTGATTTAAATGCATTTTTAAAAACATTGTGTTTTCTTGGTGAACAACATATAATGGTTTTGATGACACTTTATATTCTGTTGGTTTTTACATGAACATTAGACTCTATAGATAAGGGTTTTGAAAACACTTTATATTATGTTGGTTTCTTTGATTTAAATGCATTAAACTTATCATGTTGTGCATGCGCTACAAAATATTCTGCAAACTTCAGTGTAGCACACTGGATTTTTTTACTGTATAATAATGGTTTCCCATTTCCTTCTCATAATGATTCCCTGTTTTGGTAGCTATTAGTAGTTTATAGCAAAAAGATTTTATCCCTGTGTATTTGAGGTGCTTTGTCGAGTCCAACACCTTGCATGACGAAGGAACTGTGGAGTTGTGGAACTTATCCAACAAATTCATTTTTCCAGACAATGAAATTGGTAACAACAGACCGCTTGATTCTGTTCAAGAGCTGAAACAGCTCAACAATGTTGTCGTCATTTCTACCTTAACTAGAGTTCGCACAAGAACAACTTTCAACAATTAGGTTTATATTCAAAGTTATTGTAATCAAAACATGATGAACAAAGAGAACATGACAAACATATATGGATGTGTTAATATATATTGCTATGCTTACAGGGGTGGAGCGGATACGTAGATGAGAAAGACAAGCTTTGAAAAAGGAATAACTGGTCAATACAATCGTCAAAACCTTGGAGCATTATTTTATCCTGTGTGTGTATATATGTAATTTCATCTCTCTTTGGCTTTCATTTTATTTAAGCTTGTGCTTTCTTTTTGGCTGGTATTCCTAATTATGGATGAAGTCAATGATTTTAGGTAGAAGGAGGAATGTCCCAACAGTTCAATCAAATCAAACAGTGGCTTCACGAACTGGACCAAATCAAAAGTAATTTCATTGTCTAAGCTGCTTCAACATGTAAATGTATGGAAGAATTATGTGTCTTGAATCCAATTCTTGCTATAATTTTTCAGATAAGCCACTTGAAATCACTTACAGCTACTGGGATGAGGCAAGCCATAGGCGAATGATCTAGGTAAATGGCCATATTTGTGGTATCTTGTGCTACAGGTCCTGAATTTAAGCTAACAAGCATTGTGGAATGCTTGCACATTGACATACGAGGTTGNAAAAAAAATAGAAAGACTATTGCCCTTAAGAATGGCAAGCTGGAAAAAGATGGCCACAACAGAAAACAGGATATATCTTTCTCCCTTTGATTTAAATGCATTTTTAAAAACATTGTGTTTTCTTGGTGAACAACATATAATGGTTTTGATGACACTTTATATTCTGTTGGTTTTTACATGAACATTAGACTCTATAGATAAGGGTTTTGAAAACACTTTATATTATGTTGGTTTCTTTGATTTAAATGCATTAAACTTATCATGTTGTGCATGCGCTACAAAATATTCTGCAAACTTCAGTGTAGCACACTGGATTTTTTTACTGTATAATAATGGTTTCCCATTTCCTTCTCATAATGATTCCCTGTTTTGGTAGCTATTAGTAGTTTATAGCAAAAAGATTTTATCCCTGTGTATTTGAGGTGCTTTGTCGAGTCCAACACCTTGCATGACGAAGGAACTGTGGAGTTGTGGAACTTATCCAACAAATTCATTTTTCCAGACAATGAAATTGGTAACAACAGACCGCTTGATTCTGTTCAAGAGCTGAAACAGCTCAACAATGTTGTCGTCATTTCTACCTTAAGTAGAGTTCGCACAAGAACAACTTTCAACAATTAGGTTTATATTCAAAGTTATTGTAATCAAAACATGATGAACAAAGAGAACATGACAAACATATATGGATGTGTTAATATATATTGCTATGCTTACAGGGGTGGAGCGGATACGTAGATGAGAAAGACAAGCTTTGAAAAAGGAATAACTGGTCAATACAATCGTCAAAACCTTGGAGCATTATTTTATCCTGTGTGTGTATATATGTAATTTCATCTCTCTTTGGCTTTCATTTTATTTAAGCTTGTGCTTTCTTTTTGGCTGGTATTCCTAATTATGGATGAAGTCAATGATTTTAGGTAGAAGGAGGAATGTCCCAGCAGTTCAATCAAATCAAACAGTGGCTTCACGAACTGGACCAAATCAAAAGTAATTTCATTGTCTAAGCTGCTTCAACATGTAAATGTATGGAAGAATTTTGTGTCTTGAATCCAATTCTTGCTATAATTTTTCAGATAAGCCACTTGAAATCACTTACAACTACTGGGATGAGGCAAGTCATAGGCGAATGATCTAGGTAAATGGCCATATTTGTGGTATCTTGTGCTACAGGTCCTGAATTTAAGCTAACAAGCATTGTGGAATGCTTGCACATTGACATACGAGGTTGTGCAACTGATTTCTTACTTCAAATGCTTGATTTTCTATGTTAAATTAGTTTTTTATCGTCCATAATTTAAAAGCATGGACACAAATATAACACGACACAACATTCTGAAACATGACTCCCATTTGTAGCTTTTTTTTTTATTTTGCATACCATGTACAAACGATATAATTCAATTTTTTGTTTCTGAACTATTAAAAACTTATGGTAATGAAAGAGTCAATTGTCAGTGGTGTACATATGAAAAGTTCGATATCCTATATACTTCATATATATTTGCACATTTCTAATCTACTGAGTCATGTTGCTCCATTATGGCTTGGGCACATTACATGTTGAAATATTGGATCTCAAAAACATTTACCAATTTTACTTACAGAAAGTCAGCTTGCTTATGGTGGTGTTGCTTATGTTCATGTTCCTTTTTTCTCTTGTCCAAATCATCAAGAGTAGGTGGGATTCCCTAAAACATGATTAAAGTCTTTAATAGCAGACTATTGTGTAGCTATTTAGTTCACTTTTGGTTCAACCTGTTATTAGGATTAGGAAACCAACTGTGGCTTATAATTCATGTCATACTCTGTGGCTATGTTTGGAATACATAACTAACACACATATTGCAGGATTCACCTCAGAGCAAGAGTCTGACATGAATATCAACAGAGTATAATGTATGCCGTGTAAGGGGCCTGATATAGGTGAGCTCTTTGATGGCCCAAAACGTAGTAGCAACTTTCTCTTTGTATACTCCTGAGCACCTCAAGAATGAAGGCTCATAATCGCAAAAATCTAAGACACATGCCAATATTTTGAGCAAGAGGAACATTGGGCATAATGATCCCCTCATTTTTTCCACCTACAATATTACACCACCAAAGCTAAAGTTTGAACAATACAAAAGATCATCAAACAAATTGCAACCTCTTAAAATATAGAGTGAACAAATAAAAATGAAAATTTTGCATTTATTAGATCAGCTAACAAATTATATAATATTGAGTCTGTGGAATGAACAATAAGAATAGGTGGTGAAGGCACAAGAACAGGTTGTCAGTACTTTGCACCATCTCACTATAGAGGCTATTGATGCGGGAAAGAAGAAACTCTATGAGGCAAAGGTCTGGGTGAAGCTGTGGTTGAACTTCAAGGAATTGCAAGAATTCAAGTATGCTGGCAATGCCACCTCATTTACCCCTTCAGATGTTGGCGTTAAGAATGGTAGATAAGCATGAATTGATGTAGTTCCCTTCAAAAAAAATTCTAGAACTTATTACACATGACAGGCTATCCCCTCCTAAGAAACTACACTAACATTCTAGCTTAAATCATCGGATGTTTCATGAAGTATCAAGTGGTGGGTAATGGCGTAGTGCTATGGTTCTGCCCCCCTCCTCCTTGTTTCTTTCCTATAGGCTCCTTGTGCTTTTGATTTTTAACCAATCTGAAGAAGCAGACCAAGATTATCACATGGAAAAATAATTAGAATGAAAGCATAAAAGAGTAGTTATGCATCATGTTTTATGCTAAATGGTTTCTATGATTGTTTAGGGGGTTTTCAGCTGTGGCATTCATGTCAAGTAGATGTTTTGATAAGTTTAGCATGTTATCTATTCAATTGAAAGTTGGAAGCAAAGTTGCGGCCTTTTAATATTTGACTTGTTGTTTTCATTTCTGCAGCTTTTCTTATCTTGTTTTCTTTTTAGCTTGAAGAAATAGATAAATGCGCCAAATATTTTTCTCTATCTTTTAAAGCTTCTAATCATCTTATATAAACTATTGATGTGGCAATCACAGAGGCGAACAATTGAAGAGAGAAAAAAGAAAAAGGAAGAAGCAGAAAGAAGAGCCTAAGAGTTGAGAGACAACATATATTCAAAGTTACTGTAATCAATCATTTTTTCATATGTCAACAGTAAAGTGATATGTGACCTATATCTCATTCCATGTTTACAAACCTTGAGTTTGACGATATGTTGTCTGGTAACTCCTCCTGTGTTGTTCAATAGGAATCTTTTACTTTTTGTTGATTACATTCACAAAATGGATATAGCCCTTGACTAAAATGAATGCCAAAACTCCTGCTCACCTTCACTTGTGTATGTTGGCAATTTGGTTAGGAAAAATTAGTTCACATGCTTAGTATACAATATTTCATTCTTAAAATGATCCACGTGCAACGCGCGTGGAAATCAACTAGTCTATATTAAAGGGTAATGTCTAATCTATGTTCTATTGTTATATATATAGTTACAAGATTCGATTCTACAAATATATGTATATATTTGATTTTTTTTGTATGCAATAATATAATTAACTTATAATATAATTCAATGTGCAAACCCTTGAGAAGAATAATCTTACATGAAGCTTTTTTCCTGGCAAGTAACTTGCAATGAAACTTCATTATAAACAAAAGAGTAAATGTCTATCAAATAATGACAGATTAGGTACTAAAGTGGTAGAATGGATCAATATTTATGTTTAATAAAAAATAAAGGATTAACTCTCCAAAACCTAACTTATTATTTAATTTAATTACTCAGGCAGTTCATAACATTTTAAGTCGTATCTATCCTATGTATTTTGAAAAATTCTAACGTCATTGACTGCTAACATCATTATGTCAAGTTTTGACATCATAACGTCATAACTTGACACAGTTCATTGCATTTTGCGGGATATTGTTTCTGATGAATTCTGACAACTTTGAGATGTTAGATTTAATTGCCGCACAAATACCAAGTTAGATTGTAAAGCTGTTAGGGTTTNATGAATTCTGACAACTTTGAGATGTTAGATTTAATTGCCGCACAAATACCAAGTTAGATTGTAAAGCTGTTAGGGTTTTAGAGAAGAGAAGAAGAGAGAAAGAGAAGAATATGAAAAGAGAGTAGTGTGTGCTAAGTTCCATAAATGCACTTTGCTTGTTTATCTATACTACTAATAAAAGACATCCAAATGAAAAAAATTTGCTCAACTAAAATAACTCTAATAAAATAACTAATCCCCATACTTATTTTTAATAGGTGATTTTTAATTCCTTAAATGAAAATTAAAATAAAATGATTTTTATTTTTAATAGATCAATTCAGTAAGTGTAGATAACAAGATTAACTTGATTGCTCTAATTATTTCAATTCATATTTCTTATTTGTTTTCCTATCTGTAACTCCATCTTTCTTTGTTTCCATCTATCTCACTAACACACACTCTTCCATTCTTGATGATTGGATGCATCTTTACTAAAATCATAAATAAACTCATTAGATAAGTTTTTCTCTGACGTGATTTCAGATTTGAGATGTTTAATACCACACAAAAACTCAATATAAAGAAGTGCGATAATTATGCACTTGGCCTAAAAATGAGATGTTCCCCCTTTATTTTTCAGTTCTCGCTACTCCGGTATCATTTTGCTGCGTTACTCCAGAGACAAACTACTTGCCCAAGTAGTCTAGAGAAATAACTCTTTGCACTTTCTCTTTGTGGTAGTAATTTCTCTGCCCAAGTAGTCCAGAGAAATAACTCTCTGCACTCTCTCTTCGTGGTAGTAAGTTCACTAGTTCTTCCTCATTCTATGCTTTATTTTGATGGGTTCACATATTATTTCCCAAAAAACATAAAAGCTATATTTTATATATCATACTTATGTACAAAAAACATATGTTGATTTTATCAAAATCATTCTCACGTTATTAAACTTTCCAATAAAAGATCATTCAATAAGTTTTTTTTCCAACATGATTGTAGTAAACATATTAGTTTTTAAACATGTTTCTTTGATGCACGAACCACCTCTTTCCGGTTTGGGTGGGAACATTTTTTTGGGTATGCATTAAAATCGATCTAAACCGTTGTTGTGTTATACTAAGTTGGGGGGATTCAAAATAGGTTTTGTTTTATAAATATAGATTGTTTCACCCACACTTTCTTAAGCCACGGGCACTGTAATTCATTTAAAGAATTTATTTATTATTTTTATCGAGAATTTAAAGTTTTTGGGNAAACCACCTCTTTCCGGTTTGGGTGGGAACATTTTTTTGGGTATGCATTAAAATCGATCTAAACCGTTGTTGTGTTATGCTAAGTTGGGGGGATTCAAAATAGGTTTTGTTTTATAAATATAGATTGTTTCACCCACATTTTCTTAAGCCATGGGCATTGTAATTCATTTAAAGAATTTATTTATTATTTTTATCGAGAATTTAAAGTTTTTGGGGGTTATCTGTTCCACTTCTTCACCTATTTCCCGAAGCTTCTTGTCTTTCGCAATTGCCTTTAAATCCAACTATGAACGAAGACTTTGTCATAGAACAAAAGGGAGAAATGAAAGATAGAGAGATATTGTACACTTTGCGAGGATAGCACAGTCGTGATCCTTTCTTGGGTCATAAATGAGACCNAATTGCCTTTAAATCCAACTATGAATGAAGACTTTGCCATAGAACAAAAGGGGGAAATGAAAGATAGAGAGATATTGTACACTTTGCGAGGATAGCACAGTCGTGATCCTNCGAAGACTTTGTCATAGAACAAAAGGGAGAAATGAAAGATAGAGAGATATTGTACACTTTGCGAGGATAGCACAGTCGTGATCCTTTCTTGGGTCATAAATGAGACCGCTCTTTGCTACTCTTATGACGAAAAGGTTTCCAAGTTTCATTGGATTATTAGAAACATTATATATATATATATATTTGATGTTAATTGTTCGTTGTTTTGGAATAATAATTATGAAGTTCCTTGTATTTTGTACTCAAATTTATTGGTGAGATCTTTATTTGATGTTAATCTATTTTTTGAGGGTGCATGGAATTCAAATTTGGTTTCAGTTCTAGAACAACCACATATTATTGTCATTTGTCGAGATTGAACTAAAATAAAAAAATTGTGTAGGTATCTCTAAGTGAAACTTTGGGTGTTAATTGTGGGTTTTATGATCACAAATTTACTTAAAAATGAGGTTCACAGAAAATACATCGGTTGCATATATAACTTGATTCTTTGTTAATGGGATTCGGAATACCACTATGTTAGTATAGAAATGGTTTCAAAATAAATATTTTATTAAAAACAATGTTGACCGGTTCTTTTTTTTTTTTTTGGAAAAGAATCGGTAATCTGCTTTATTGAATTGGAAGGGCAAAAAAGGGCTTAGACTTCTCTGCCACCCTATGTGCAATTCATTTATGTAGAGGGTTGGCCTTCATCAATAACATGGTGAATAAGAAATGGTTCTGGGCTTGCGAAGACAGTGTTGTTAGGTGAATATTTGTGCATAAGACGCAGGTTGTGAGTAATTCCCATCATGAGATACCATCCAAGACAGTAATCTTTTTTTAACAAAATGATCCTCATAGGTGAAAAAGAATGCTATATACTGTGTGCTTATATAGGTCTCATGTTCTTTCCCTCTTGGCTATTTTCTCACCCTCCATGTTTTGGGTCAAGGTCTCACTTTGTCATCTCTTGCTTTGTACTCTTTTCTTACTCAAATATTTGTGCTTGATTATACGACTTTTGTGCTCATTTGTTCTCTACGTTTTGCGCATCAACTTGCCTTCATACTCTATTGTAGGGATTTATGCTTGAACTTGAATTTATAATATTGCCTTCTAGATTTTGGTTTATCTTTTTTATGAAGTATTTCAATGTATTCTCTGGATTGGAAGTTTTTCCTAGCCCTACTAATCTTATAGGTGAGTCCATTTTTTGTGAAATGCTTCTAATCTTAGAACTGTCTGATTTGGCATTTGTTTTCAAATCATATTGGACACGTTTGCACCAGTAGTTGGTCAACATTTTGCTTGTTTAATTTGTTGGTAGCATATCTATCAATAATATTGTCAAAGATACCTCATTCCATGTTGCGTTTCCATAATTTCCATAGCAAATAATATTAGCTTTTGTTTTTTGTGGACAATTTTAGATAATATAGCTAATACATTAAGCATAGGTACATGAGACTTCAATAAATTTTAGTTAAACCGATTTTGTGTCTGTCTCTCCCTTTAGGAGTAACCTTTTCTTTGGGAAAGGGTGGCGGCGAAGATTGGTGCGGCGGCGAGTTTTTGCTATTAAAGGCGGAAGTTGCGAAAGTTAAGACTTACTATTTATGTTTTTAATCAATCAATCATTATTCTCAAATTATATATGTGCCTGGTTATGAGAGTAATGTTATCCTGTTGAGAAACGATCTTGATTAAATTAGTTTATCAAATATTATTGTTTTCAATCCATCAATCATTATTCTCAAGTTCTATATGTGTTTGGTTATGAGAGTAATGTTATCTTGTTGAGAAATGATCTCGATTAAAATAGTTTATCAAATATTATTGTTTTTTAGTTAGTTTAAATATTATTCCGTGCGTATCATTTGCACATTATATACAACATAATATTCTTAATTTTCAATTTTTTTTTGCTCTAATTTTTTCACAATGGTTTGCTATAATGTTTTTGAGTTTCTCATAAAACCATCATTGATGCAGCGTAAAACATAAAAGGATGGAGTTGGTGGCTGATTTTCACTGTTTGCCAATCAAGAAGGGAAAAAAATCATTTGTTGATAATCGTTTTAAATTACTATTGAGGTTGTCCAATGTTTAGGGAGACAACATGTGTACTAGCAAAACGTTTCATGGATTTGGAGGGAANTAGCGTAAAACATAAAAGGATGGAGTTGGTGGCTGATTTTCACCGTTTGCCAATCAAGAAGGGAAAAAAATCATTTGTTGATAATCGTTTTAAATTACTATTGAGGTTGTTCAATGTTTAGGGAGACAACATGTGTACTAGCAAAACGTTTCATGGATTTGGAGGGAATTTAGTGTTATGGATTTTGGATGAAATTTAGTATTATGGGTTATATAATACATGGACGCAACAATTACTCAAGCTAAACTTTTGATAAATTTTACAATATATCAACAATGTCTGGGCACAATGTAGGGACTTTATTCATTTTGATTATTTTTTATATATTGCAAGACATACTGGTAATCTAAATTACTGAAGCGATGTTTTGCATAGTTGTAATTTTAATTGACATCCTTCTCGTTGGCCAATTTTAGCCAATGGATCTTAAGGGAGTGGACGGGAAGATTATTAAGAACTAAGCAGTCAAGCTCAGTTCGGATGGAGTAAGAGGAATGTAAAAAGTTTTGATAACCATCATAAAGATGTAGCAACTCTGAAGCAGAGGAATAATCCATAGAACAACACAATTTTGCAAGTTTGGCAGGTTTCTTTGCCTAAAACTAATATCAGTCTTTTAACATTTGGGTAAAGGTNACGCAACAATTACTCAAGCTAAACTTTTGATAAATTTTACAATATACCAACAATGTCTGGGCACAATGTAGGGACTTTATTCATTTTGATTATTTTTTATATATTGCAAGACATACTGGTAATCTAGAATCCTTTGCAACTAGATGTGTTTCTGTGCAGAATAAAATTTTTCATACGGCTCAAGGGTCTTTTCATTAGTGTTACAGAAGGAAAATGTTAGTTTATAAGAATGTTGTGGTATGTCCACAAACTCATGCTCACACCTGAACATTTTTTTCTCCAATTTATTAAATTACTGAAGTGATGTTTTGCATAGTTGTAATTTTAATTGACATCCTTCTCGTTGGCCAATTTTAGCCAATGGATCTTAAGGGAGTGGACGGGGAGATTATTAAGAACTAAGCAGTCAAGCTCAGTTCGGATGGAGTAAGAGGAATGTAAAAAGTTTTGATAACCGTCATAAAGATGTAGCAACTCTGAAGCAGAGGAATAATCCATAGAACAACACAATTTTGCAAATTTGGCAGGTTTCTTTGCCTAAAACTAATATCAGTCTTTTAACATTTGGGTAAAGGTATTTTGAAACATGATAATCATTATATAAGTTAAATTTGTAGGGTTGCTACTTTGTGTGGAGAAGCTCATTGGGTATAATATTTCCTCTTATTGTAGACAACAACAGTTCAACATGTACTTAAATCAACATGTACTTAAAAAAATTGGAAGAAAACTAAGCGCAGGCAACCATGAATTGCAATATTGTATATCAGGTCACTAAATTTCTATATATATAGTTAAGGACCACTTTTTCTATGAATGTATATTTGAATAATAATATATTTCACAATTTTTCTTTAAAATAGTTCACGTTCAATACACGTGTGCATCAGTACTAAAAAACTTTTAAACTAAAAATAACATATAACAAAATATTTTTTTTTGAATTAAGTAATTTAAAATTAACATAAACAGGGAGAAAATAAGAGAGAAATATGGAAAAGAGACCAAGTGGTAGGTGTGTATTTGTGGGTTATTTGGTATTGAAAAGTGTGTTGATTCAATTGTTTGATATTGGAGGTCGCGTAGAAAAGAAGATATTTTTGAGTGATAAAATTTGTTTTTGAATAAATTTTGTACCACTGAATTAAATGTAAATTGAATTTAATTTGACCAGCGTTGTAATTTTATAAGTTAAGAATTCAATTTCTTAACTTTAATATTAAATAGATTTTCATTGATTTACAAAAGTAATTATTTAAACTGTTTGAGCGCATCGCACGATACATTGTTAGTATGCTAAAAAGTTAGTTTTTTTTTATCCCAAAATTTTGAAATGATTAAATTACATTTTATCATCACAAACTATTGCCCATGTTTCAATTTGTACTCTTAACTATAATTTTTTTTTATATTATATCATAAAATATCAATTTTATTTCATATCTCTTCAATAAATATTGACAAATTTAAAAATCTATGAACTTTCCGTCAAGTTCCTAGTACCATTTAGTTTTATATCTTTTGTAATCAAATGATTGTTGGGAAAAAAAAGAAAGTTGGTTAGGAAAAGAAAATTTAGAGTTTCAGAAGGGAAAAGTTATGANATATCAATTTTATTTCATATCTCTTCAATAGATATTGACAAATTTAAAAATCTATAACTTTCCGTCAAGTTCCTAGTACCATTTAGTTTTATATCTTTTGTAATCAAATGATTGTTGGGAAGAAAAAGAAAGTTGGTTAGGAAAAGAAAATTTAGAGTTTCAGAAGGGAAAAGTTATGAATATGTATTTTTTTTATTTTTGACCTATATATGTATAATAGACACTTGTTTATTGACAATACAAATTACCCACATGCTCATTTACCGTAAAAAAAGTGACATTTGTTATCAATTGGAATGATATGAAACAAAATTGATATTTTAGGGTATAATATAAGAATTTTTATAGTTAAGGGTATAAAATGAAATAAATGTAATAATTCAAGGGGTAAAGTGTAATTTACCCATTTAGAAACTAAAAATTTGTATGTTAACTTCATTTAACGAAATAAGCCAACCAATCAAATGCCGTGGATTGCCACAGAAGCCTCCCTCCAATAGAGCACCAGACTTCACTTGCTCTTACATTGCTTTCTCCAGATAAAACGCGTCGCTGCCCATCGATTTCATTTCCCTTTCAATCTTCTTCCTCCAGCGCTTCGTCTTTGTGTCTCTAGCCAGCCTCGGTTCGTCTCCCTTTTGGTAAAGCTTTTATTGATGTTCTGTATCGGTTTTTGTTTGTCGGTTATCTTCTCTCGTTTGGCTATTTTCTGTTTTAGGGTTTTAGTATGGGATATGTAACTAGCGTTCTTCTGTTAAGCTACAACTATTGGGTATTTTGATATTGTTTTTTGAGGTATTTTTCACAGTATTTCCGTGTTTTGTTATTTGTCGCTTCTTCGTTGTGTGTTACTACTGGTTTTGCTTGGTGAGTTTCACCATATTGTTGGATTTTTGGGGGCTTTAAATGATCTTGTGATCTGCCCTGTACGTGATTGGTAATAGTTATCGTCTATGGGTCTGGTTTATTTGTACTAAATTTTCGGTATTTGGTTCATGAGGGTTCTGAGTCGTTCATTTAGTGAAGCTCGTTCTGTTGGAAAACAAGGGTTTTAGGGGTTGAGATGTTTTTGATTCTATGAATGTAGGTGTATCATCTATGCTTGGCTTATTTTGAATTACGATTTATTATATTTTGATGTCTTATTGAGTTCTTAGAGTTTGGTTTATTGCCATACGATGTTGATGACGTTGAAATATCAGGGTTTGTATTGCGCACCAGATGTCTTTTGACTGTCACAAGAAGCATCAGTGGTTTCTTTGGCGAGCTTTCTATTTCATGTACCGGGGTAGGTTGTGGTGTTCTCGCAGGGTTTTGTTTCGGCATTGGACTTGACAAGGACAGAAAAGGGTTTCAGTGAAAGGTTAATTCGGTTGTATACATACTTTTTTCTGCCATAGTTTATTTTCTGAGAATCCGATATTGTTGTGGGAAATTTTTGGTTAATTGCTAGTTAGCAAGACGAGATACGTTATCATTGGAATTATCAAGATTTTACTGTTTACACCGTGGGACATTCTCTTGGCATTCTCTCTATGGCAAGCATGTTGCTTCCTCCAGGCTTTCGCTTTCATCCTACTGATGTTGAGCTGGTTATGTACTACCTTAAAAGGAAGGTAATGGGAAAGAAGCTCCATTTTGAAGTCATCTCGGAGCTCAACATTAACAAATTCTTTCCATGGGAGCTCCCAGGTACAAATATTTGTTTATCGAGTTTTGTTTATGTAATATAGTCGACTCTGTTTTAAGTGTGATCTCCATGTACTATTATCATGCATGATAATGGTCGTACACTATTCCATTTCACCTATTCTTTGTGTACTTCATATTCAAATTTCCAAAATTGAATTTGTCCATTCATATAGTAAAACTAAAAACACTCTGTATATTAATTTGTTTATTAGTGGAAGTGTTTTTTTGGTTGGATATTGCGAAGCTTTCTTTCTTTTATTTTATCCATTATTTGGGTTGCTTCTGCTTTATGTGATTTTAACAGTGATGCATTCCTATTTTGTCCTTAAGATAAATCATGTCTGAGAAGTAAGGATCGCGAGTGGTACTTCTTTTGCCCTAGAGAGAGGAAGTATGCAAGTGGGTCGAGAATGAATCGTGCAACTGAAAATGGATATTGGAAAGCCACCGGACAAGATAAACAAGTTCTTTACAACGAGCAAACTGTGGGAAAGGTTAAAACTTTGATTTTTCACAAAGGACATGCTCCACGAGGAGAAAGAACAAATTGGGTTATACATGAATATAGACTTGAAGACAAAATACTGGCTGATGCAGCCATTGTTCAGGTATTTCTTTTCCATCTTTTACTGCTTAGGATTTGAAATATAATCATGATAAACTTCCCTTTTTATTTGTTTTTATTTATTTATGTTTTATCAAAATCTGAATCATTCGGTTATGCCGTTTGAAAATGTATGTTAACTCTTTATGTTTGTATTTAACTTTTGTAAGATTAAAAGGATTTAAATAATGAATATTTTGGCCTTATTGCTGGACCTGCTTTCTCCCCATTCTAATCTAGATATAAATGTCTGCCGGGAGAAATTTTCTGATTATTGTAGTTGACCATTAATCTTCTTGGTAGGATGCATATGTGCTCTGTAAAGTTTTCAAGAAGAATCGTCTGGGACCAAACAATGGTGCGCAATATGGAGCACCATTTAATGAGGAAGAATGGAATGATGATGAAGACATCAGTGCGGAATCTTTACTATCTGATGGATCTACCCTTTTGGTGCCTGATAAACAGAAGAATGCTGTGGTGACGAGCACAATTGTTCCTGGAAGTACATATAGCTGGTCATTATCCGAACCAGGTCCATCTTCAGCTGTGCCTTCTGCTACAAAGGTTCCGGTAGAGGTCCCAGATGATGATTATATTGATTCATGGTTGGCAATGTTCACAGAAGATAGTGTTCCTATTGAGAATGACAATAACGAAGTGAGTTACATGCTATTTGTTTTGGACCAGTTGAATTGAATGTTTAATTTTTTTTGGCTTTATCATTGTTCCTTGGAGTGGAATATTTTCTACCTTCTCCTTTCAGCTTATCGTGCAATGGGGAATGTGTTTAATGTAGATATGTTGGTTCTAAGGTGACAGAATGCTTAAAATGAATAGGTGGACTGGTTGGTATGGCTTACATTGGAAATTTCTATAAAGTGTGAAGCATTAAAACTTACAGATTGGTTATCATATTTTTGGGAATCATACCGTTAGATCCTTGGGAAAAGCTATTAAATCTGAAAGGTCCGCAATAATGGAATCTTCAATATGAAAGGCCCTGAAGTGTGTTTCCCACTTAACTATCATAAAAATTGCGCATTAAGACCGAAATAATCTTTCACTTGAATGAATCAAATGCTACAATAACTAAAATGACAAGTTTGCTACAGTAATATAGAAAAGGTGCCACCGGCATGAGATTTTAGAAGTGGCTGTTCTCCATCATCTCTCCGTCACCATCCAATCAACTGGAAGTGAACTGGTAAAGTTAACTGTTAAGCGTTGCAATTCATCTTAAAGTAAGACGGAGGCTGGGAGGGAAGGAAAATTATTTTTATGGTTTCATGGAGGTTTTATGGCATGTGGAAGATTGGATACGGGTGTGATTATGTTTTAGGGCCACTTGAATGAGAAAGCCAATCTTACTCGTAGTAATCTTTTTTCACACAATATTAGTTTACATACAAGTAGTTTAGATTTTGCAAAGGAAGAATTTGTTTCTTCAGTATATTGAAATAAGCAAGTAAAACTTGGGCTTTTCGGAGTAGAAAATTATTTTGGAGGAAGTTATTAGTTTTTTCCCTATATTTTGATGGACAATGTTACGATAGAGCACCAAGGGGGCACAACTAATTTACAATATTGAGACTATTATAGTTTGTTAAATCCTATGTTCCACAATGAATTAGCGGGGAAGTATGATTCTTGTTCGTCATAACGAGAATAAAATCCTAAGTACTTTTGTACGAACATGCTGATGAGCTTGGACTAGTCCAAGTTGGAATTGTTTTAGCTTCAGTTATTTAGTTGAGCCGCAGGCTGAATGCAAGTTCGGTGTCTCTGTCTATCACATGAGTCTCGATTAGCTTTTTGTCAAGTTGATCTAAGTTTTGGTGTATTGCCAAATTGTGTGAACGGCTAGCCTTGTCTATTTGACATTCAGAGAATGCCCATTAATTTTATTGAAGTTACTTGAATGGCATGTTTTCTTGTTCTTGGTTTAATTTATTTGTAATGACAACCTTAGAATCAATATAGTTAACATTATTTTAGGTAATCTAGTACGAATACAATGGAAGCATCAGAAACCCTAGTAATTGTCATTTGTGCTTCAATTGCATTCGTGCTTCAATTGTATTATTTGTTTAACAATTGTTAGTCTACTCCTACAGTGTAGTTGATGTACTATTTGTAGCTTTTACTTTTATTTGAACTGTTTGGGAGTGAAAACGATGCACAAACTGAGTGCAAAGCTCTGTATATATAGTAAAATAAGAGTGCAACTGACCAGAACACTCCTCTAGTCTTGGTAAGACATAAAAATCATAATAAGGACAAATAGATAGAAAAGCTAAACATCCTAATAATTAGGCTATAACTTCAACATTCCTCCTTAAGCTAGGCACAAAGATGTCAATTAAGTCAAGTTTGACAATAGAGTCTCGAGGTACTGAAGAATATGATATACCGCATTCAGATGAGACTGACATGACTTGCGTATGAACTGATTAACCCGACTGACAGCAAATGAAATGTTTGACTTAGTGTTGATTAGGTAGATAAGCCTACCTACCAATCTTTGATAAATAGTTGGATCTCTCAACTCCTCATCTTCAACGGTAAGTTTTAGGTTTGAAATTATAGGTGATTATTGTCGGTTTGTACCTCAGCATCCCAGTGCTTGAGAGAAGATCCAGAATGTACTGCCTTTGAGAGAAAACAATATTTCTGTTGTTACGAGCAACTTCAATCCCAAGAAAGTATCGTAGAAATCTAAGGTTCTTCACATTAAAGGCCTTTCCAAGGTCAACCTTGACTTGTGCAATCCCAGAAATGTCATCTCTAGTAATAATAATATTATCTACATATATCAAGAGAATGACACANGATTGTCGGTTTGTACCTCAGCATCCCAGTGCTTGAGAGAAGATCTAGAATGTACTGCCTTTGAGAGAAAACAATATTTCTGTTGTTACGGGCAACTTCAATCCCAAGAAAGTATCGTAGAAATCTAAGGTTCTTCACATTAAAGGCCTTTCCAAGGTCAATCTTGACTTGTGCAATCCTAGAAATGTCATCTCTAGTAATAATAATATTATCTACATATATCAAGAGAATGACACACTGCCCAGTAGTATCCATCGAATAAAGTATGTATGATCAGAATAACATCTGGTGAAGTCAAAATGTATAACCACACCACTAAACGGAGAGAACTAGACTCGTGGTGACTGTTTTGGTCCATTAATAGACTTACGTAGTCGACACACCTTGCCAGCATACTCCCCCTTATCATAAAAGGCTGGTGAGGCGTTCATATAAATAATCTCGTTCAGGTCACTGTGTGGAAATGCATTCTTCACATCCAACTGATCAAGAGGCCAAGATTACGAGGCTGCCAAAGAGATAATCAAATGAACTGTAGTCAACTTTGCCGTCGAGGTAATGATAGCTCCAAAATCGCAACTTGGAACCTGAGTAAAGTCCTTTGCCACAAGTCTGGCTTTGTGGTGATCAATAGTACTATTCGCAAGAAACTTCTGAGTGTAAGCCAACGACAGCCAATAGGCTTCATCTCTAAAGATAAAGAAACAAGATTCCATGTGTGGTTACGCTGAAGAGCGTCTATCTCTGTCTGCATAGCAAAAGCCCACTGAGGCTTTCACGTAGCCTCTGAAATGGAGCGAGGAACTGGTGTATATGATAATGTCATATTATAAACCCAAAATGTAAGAGATAACTCAACATAAAAAACATAACTAGAGATCGGATATAAAGCCCTAGTGGCCCAACCATAACGAACAATTGGCCGGTGGTCACAATGCGGATAACGATGCCTTGAATCATGATCCTTCACAAATAAAGTCTCATCAAATAAATCAACTGGCTTAAAGACCTCCACCTACAGTCTCATCAGTGCTAACAACAAACAATATGTTCAACTAACGGAGAAATATTATCTTCATCGCTTGAAATAGCGGGGACATCAGCAGGGGGATGAGAGCNCACCTACAGTCTCATCAGTGCTAACAACAAACAATATGTTCAACTAACTGAGAAATATTATCTTCATCGCTTGAAATAGCGGGGACATCAGCAGGGGGATGAGAGCAAAGGCGACGAACATAAACTTGCAGAGGAGAGATTGGGATATCATGTGTAAAGAGAAACTAGGATAGCATGTGTAATTGGCGACTCTGTGATGACAGTGATTAGTGNAATATCATGTGTAAAAAGAGAAACTAGGATAGCATGTGTAATTGGCGACTCTGTGATGACAGTGATTAGTGGCTCCGGTGGTAAGGAAAAATCAAAGGGAGTATTGTCAGCTAGTGATGCAAACTCGGGCTAGAAGTAGAAAAATAAGGTACATGCTCAAGAAAGGTAATATTTTGACTATGATACATATGACGTTGGACTGGATCATAACACTGATAGCCTTTAGATTGCTGATTGCAACCTACAAAGACAATGAATATTTGTATTATGAAGCTTATGACTAGTAGGAGACCGATCTTGAACAAAACATGTACAGTCAAAGACTCGCAGAGGGATTGGAAAAAGTGTTTGCTCAAGAAATAGGATCTATAAGGGAGGCATATGTTGAATAACGCGACTCAGTGTGTGATTAAATNACTTTAGATTGCTGATTGCAACCTACAAAGACAATGAATATTTGTATTATGAAGCTTATGACGAGTAGGAGACCGATCTTGAACAAAACATGTACAGTCAAAGACTCGCAGAGGGATTGGAATAAGTGTTTGCTCAAGAAATAGGATCTATAAGGGAGGCATATGTTGAATAACGCGACTCAGTGTGTGATTAAATAGGAATGTAGAAGTCAGAACTATAAAATGTCGATAAGACTTAAGCACCCTCGTATAACGTACCATTCTTATGAGACTCTTTTTTATCTTTTAGCAATTCTATTTTGTTCAGAAGTATATGGGCAAGTGAGCTGTTGAAGGATACCTTGGGAAGAAAGGTGAGACACTAAGGCATCAGATATAGTATTCGTTGGCATTATTTGAACGAAGAGCTTGAATAATGACAGTAAATTGTGTCCTAATCATCTGTAGAAAATGAGTGATAACAGGAAGTACATTTGACTTCCTATGCAAAAGATATACTCATGTACAATAGGTATGGTTATCTATAAACGTCACATAATATCGGGCACTTGACAGAGCAATAATAGGTGAGGGAGAGTGTATTAGGTCAAATGGCCTAGGAGACTAATGCATGCGAGGAATATAACTGGTCCAAACATATTTAGATAGACACTTATAACACAATCAAGTCTACCATTACAACAAACATTACTCCAAGTAGGAAGCATACATAAATATTTAAAATTTGTATGTCTAAAACGGTTGTCACAACTAAACAGTTTGACGAAAAATTATAACGATAAGTATTAGGTAAAATACTNGCATACATAAATATTTAAAATTTGTATGTCTAAAACGGTTATGTCACAACTAAACAGTTTGACGAAAAATTATAACGATAAGTATTAGGTAAAATACTATCATACAAGTTAGGAACAGATAAAAATAAAGCAGGTGCAAGCGGCGGAGGAACTAGAGGTGGATTGCCTAGATAGTACAACCTATCTCTCGCATGTCCCTTGATACTAATCCTCATGGTACTTAGGTCCTGCAAATAACAAGAGTCAGATAAGAACAATACACAATGAAAATATCTAGCTAATTGATGTATAGATAATAGATTCATACCCAATTTTGGCGCATGAAAAATAGAATATAATGTAAGGTTATTCGGAAGGTGGATTGTACCCCTATTAATAATAGGGGCATGTTTCTCATCTGTTAATTGGACCTCTGTGTGTAATTGTTAATCAAAAGTAGTGAAGTGATGAGTCTCATTTGTCCTGTGAGCATTCGCACTCGAGTCAAACATTCAAAGAGGAGAAGGACCGGTGCTAGCATGGAAGGCACGAAATATACCTGTATTGGTCGCAGCAGATATAATCGTATTCGATCTGAAAGTGATAGCATCTATATCGCTCTGCGAAGGAGGAGGAGGAGGAGTAGTAGTAACAATAGATGGTTGTCCCTTATCAATAGTAGGACGACCTCGAGAAGCAAGATGAGATCATTTAAGCTCAAGATGGAGCTTCTAACAAGCAGCCCTGAGATGCTCTGGTCTGCCACAATAATCACATTAGCAAGAATCACCTTGTTTGCGTTGGTTTGGATCGCCTTGTCGATGTTGGTTTGGATGCTGTCCACCTTTGACTAGGGTCTTGAGCGAAATTATGCAGCAGCTGCAAAGGTCATCTGGTTGGCCCGAGGAGTCAAGGTTGTAACTAGAAGGGATGCAATACGAAAGCGATGCTCATATTGTGCAATCATAGAATAAACCTCATAGAGAGAAGGATGATTCAACATCAACAGTGTTTGGGAATGAGGTCCCTCAAATTCATCACGAAATCCCATAATGAATTTATGAATCCTATTCACCTACTCTTGATTATGTAGAAATGTCGCTCCCTCGGGCTCTATTCTCGAAATAGCAGCAAGAAAACATAGAATTTTATATTCAAGCCAGCGTTGACTTAAATAGCCATAGTAGTCTTGAACTGTCATATCTTCATCAAGCATATGAGAGCTCTTGAAAAAACTCATAAACACAAACTCCACGACCTAACTATGAATATATCTCTAATAATGTGTTCTATAACTTCAAAACAGAGCTATGAAACTGATGAATCTTGCAAACAAATGGCTCCATAGNACTCATAAACACAAACTCCACGACCTAACTATGAATATATCTCTAATAATGTGTTCCATAACTTCAAAACAGAGCTATGAAACTGATGAATCTTGCAAACAAATGGCTCCATAGATCTAAATAATCATCCAAGAATAACACAGTTCTCAGAGAATTATGTAGAATATCCAGGGTTGTCATCAGTTAGCTTTGGGTGCGATTCGGTCAGCCAATCAAGCTTCCCAATACGCCCCAAAAAGAGTTGAAACAAATGTGACCACTCAACAAAGTTATGACGATCCAATAACTGTGTCGTAACTTTCTAAGAGACCATACCCGACATCATCAGCATTACAACTGTGCGAGTAGTTACTATATACTAGTCAAACATAAAGGTGGAAGGGGTAATTCCTGCAGAAGTGGCAGGTATCTTCTCAATGGAAGTACCAATAGTAAAGTTTTTAAGTCCTTCACCAATGGCTATAGCAACAATAGTAATGTAGTAACCGTGACAGAAATTACTCTAAAATAAATAGAGTTAAATAAGGGACAACAATATACCTCTAATCGAATAATAACAACAAAGAAGAGGTCCAAAAAGTTCCCAAATAACAGGTCATGGGGCCAAGAAATCCAAAAAATTATATATAAGCGATTGACTACATCAAAAGTAGATTAACAGAGGGGATCATCCCCTCTAAAAGTCCCTAGGGTGCTCCGACTGTAAGGAAAAGCGAAACCAGTGTCGTGAAGGAGGTGGCGTTGGTGGGAAGGGTTGGAGGTGCCGGTGGGAAGAGGTGGAGGCGCCAGTGGGGAAGGCTAGGGTTTGGCGGTTAGGGTTAGGGAAGGCTAGGGTTTGGCCGGCTTTGATACCAACTAGAATTGTTAGGAGTAAAAAAGATGCGAAAACTAAGTGCAGAGGGTTGTATATATAGCCAAATAAGAGTGCAACTGACCAAAACACCTCTTTGGTCTGTGTAAGACATAAAAGCCATAGTAAAGGCAAAACAGATAAAAAAAGCTAAACATCTTAATAACTAGGCTATAACTCTTAACACTTTTCTTAGACCGTGAACACTAGTGCTCCCATTTTACAACTCGTAGTAGTTGTAATTCTCTACATACTTCCAATTTTTAAATACATTAATGTGAATTTTTATTTCATTTGCATGTAGGAGCTTGATAAGGCCGATGGTGTAACTTGTTCGGGTAGAGATGATATATACAATGGCTTAGGGGACCTGAATGAAGGTGGATCCAATTTCTCTAGTATTTGGGAAGCTAGCCTTGTGCCTCTGGAAGATAATCCTGATTTTTTGGAGCTAATGGATCTTGATGTTCCATTAATTTCTTCTGAAGCTACTGGATCCAAACAAACATCAACTGACAACTTATGTGCACGCGACAACTATTGCAGTGATTTTGAACAATGTCACGGAGGCATTTTTCCAGATTCTATTCAGCATGTTTCTGGCCTGAGTCAACCGTCCATGTTACTCGAAGGATCTAACATGCAAGAGGGACTTTTTGATGTATTTCAGGTATGCCTCCACGTCAGGAAGTTGTTTTTTTCTTATTCTTTTCCTTCATAATTCTAATTTTAATTTTTTTTTGTATGTGTGAAAGGTGTTTATTGTCCTTTCCTATTTTTGGCTCATGTACTGATTTGAAGATGTCAAAATTCAGGAAAAGGCTAATGGGAATAATGCAAATCAGCGATACAATGATATGTCCAATGTGGATTTTGCTTCTTGCAGACCACCAGAGGGGAATAGTGATACTGCACAAAACCATGAAGGTAGATCTCATTTTTCCTGGTGACATTTCTGGTTTTTGGAACCCACATTCATGATCTATTTATTGTTCCAAGGTCAAGTCAATCGCAGAATACCTTTCAGAAATTGTTAACTTTGTGAAATTTGATAATTGTGATTGAAATGGAAGTCGCGGTCCGGTGATGTTTTGTAATCATCTGGTTTGGTGATGTTTTGTAATCATCTGGTTTGGTGGGGTTTTGTAATTGTCTGGTTTGGTGATGTGTTAGCATTCAAATACGATGACCAGTGATTGTTTATCTCTTATTTTTTTTCCTGTCAGTGATTTATTAGTCTTTCGCCATGTAGATTGTAGAATCTGATACGGTAGCATTACTCTCTTATTTGTCATCCGTGGCTGCTGCAGGTACTTGCTGCAGTCTTGAATGTTGTTAATATATTCTTTAGGACACTCCTCATTTTCTTTTCGGTGTTTGTTATATTTGTTACCAGGAGAGCAGCAAAGAAAACTTTACTCAAGGGTCCAACTGTTGTTGGAGTCTATGCATATTCCTCCTGCCTCAGCTGTAGAGCACCTTGCTCCTACAAATTCTTATGGTGGCTCCTCCATCCTTGTCAAGGCCGAGGTGACGCGTGGCGTTGTTGTGTGCACTGAGGACGCTTTGTCAATTAAGTTGGGGGAGTCTACTCGTGAGCACGGCTGTGGGTGCAACATGCCTAGGGCAGATTTGGGGAAGAAAAGGACTCATTGCAGAAGTGGGTTTGTTTTTTGTCTTTTCTTTAAGGTTTATTTCGGTTACAATGTGGCTTTTCAGCATTCCACTTTTGACCAAACTGGGCAGGTACGCAGGGAATTCTATTTTGCTTTGAAGTAATAGCTAACTGGCATTTCTTCTTATTCTTGGCTTTAGTTATTGGAGTGTTATTATTTAATTATTTTGCTCATTAGTTTGATAATGTCAATGGCATTACCTCACTGAGTGTAACTGGGGAGCATTTGTTCTGCATGATGTTGATTGTTTTATCTGTTGTGATATGAGCTACCTTTTCGTGAATTCTTGAGTAGCAAGGGGGCTGTGTTATCTGTGTTCGTTGGGTACAAATACGCATGTACTTTTACATCTATGGGCATGGAGAACGACTGCAGTAAAGCTGCGTGAGAATCAAACCCCGTTTGGGCCCTTTCTTTTTGTGCATGTTTGTGTTTTTTCTTTTCTTTTATAATTTTTTTTTTTTGGGGTGGGGTGGTGTATGTTAGGGGCCTTCATTTGACTTTGGGACCTATTTATATTGCATTGCGTGAGTCACAAACTTCTTTGGTTTACGTGTGTTATCTTTCGATAAGGTAGTAGAGAAAATTATAGCTATGTAATTTTATATATTTGCGAGATGCTGCATTATGTACATACATTTATGTGATTGTGATCAACCACATACGTATCAAGTCAACTCTCATACGTGACCCAAGCTCATTTTAAAAAAATAATAATAGAAGTAGAAATTTTTTCTCTTTTTGTATTGATGTTTGAGTTCTTCTAATTTCCGGTCTTGGTATTTAATTGCAAACATTTGGCAATTAACCAGTCTTGCGTAATAGTACTACAGCATATCTTAACAGTATCGTTGATTCTGCAAACATTTGGCAATGAAAATAACAGTATCGTTGATTGCGTAGATACTACAGCATATCTTAAATCACATGTTAATTCTGCTATTCATTCAAGTAAGTGGCATAACACATGGGGAGAGTGATGGGTAAGTAATCAACATGAGCTCTGGTTTAGCCCCGCAAATTGGCTCAGTGGAATATGTTCCACCTTAAGGGGGGATGGTTTCATTATTAAACGCTGCTAATCCCTTGGGTCACTCCATTGATTAATCCTGAAAGTTTCATGATGTGTATAAGAAGAAATCGTGAAGTATTTTTATTGTTTGTGTCGGATGATCTTTTTAAGTTAAAACAAGGCCTATGATTGAAATTTGAGGGGAGATGTTGCTATACTTGTATTCTATTCCTTTTCTTTATCCCTATACATTTTTAGAGGTGTGCCCTGGGCGATAACGACGCTGGAGTTACGGAGCCCCATGTATCAATTTGCACTAGAGAATTATGGACCTTTTGTGCAAGTTAGTGTTTGTATTTCGTCTATCCATTTTTTCACCCGACTAGTCTGAAATTGCAGTAGGGGGTGCAGTGCCATGATATAAAGCCACAAAAATTTAAATAGAAATTAGCAATTTTTTTTTTTCTAATTTTAAAACTTCACGTTGTTTTTTGAATAATTAAAAATTTGTCGTGAATTTGTCCTTATGACATTTAGGCCACAATTGGAGGATAATTAAATCTCATGGTGTGCGTGGGTCATAGTAGGTATCTTACCGGTTTGATGCATGATGCCATTTTTGGTAATATTAACAAGGAGAATGAATAACTGAAAAAAAAAAAGTGGGGTGGTCTTGTGGGGTATTAGCTGAACTTCTTACTCTAAAATTAGATGTTTGAATTTTGGAGTCTTTATTGGGGCTCAGTGGTTGACTGTTATATTAGTCTAGTTAGGTTTATTCTCGAGACGAGTAATGAGCAAGGTCAGGGGACTCAGGATTCCACCGGTGAAGGCATACTGGGGTGGTTTCTGGGTGTTCTCTTTTGCCCCCTTCCATCCTTTTTTGATTATCAAAAAAAGAATAATTGGAAAAAAAAATGGGAAAACACCTTAAGTNTTGGGGTGGGGGTGGTGTATGTTAGGGGCCTTCATTTGACTTTGGGACGTATTTATATTGCATTGCGTCAGTCACAAACTTCTTTGGTTTACGTGTGTTATCTTTCGATAAGGTAGTAGAGAAAATATTAGCTATGTAATTTTATATATTTGCGAGATGCTGCATTATGTACATACATTTATGTGATTGTGATCAACCACATACGTATCAAGTCAACTCTCATACGTGACCCAAGCTCATTTTAAAAAAATAATAATAGAAGTAGAAAATTTTTCTCTTTTTGTATTGATGTTTGAGTTCTTCTAATTTCCGGTCTTGGTATTTAATTGCAAACATTTGGCAATTAACCAGTCTTGCGTAATAGTACTACAGCATATCTTAACAGTATCGTTGATTCTGCAAACATTTGGCAATGAAAATAACAGTATCGTTGATTGCGTAGATACTACAGCATATCTTAAATCACATGTTAATTCTGCTATTCATTCAAGTAAGTGGCATAACACATGGGGAGAGTGATGGGTAAGTAATCAACATGAGCTCTGGTTTAGCCCCGCAAATTGGCTCAGTGGAATATGTTCCACCTTAAGGGGGGATGGTTTCATTATTAAACGCTGCTAATCCCTTGGGTCACTCCATTGATTAATCCTGAAATTTTCATGATGTGTATAAGAAGAAATCGTGAAGTATTTTTATTGTTTGTGTCGGATGATCTTTTTAAGTTAAAACAAGGCCTATGATTGAAATTTGAGGGGAGATGTTGCTATACTTGTATTCTATTCCTTTTCTTTAGCCCTATACATTTTTAGAGGTGTGCCCTGGGCGATAACGACGCTGGAGTTACGGAGCCCCATGTATCAATTTGCACTAGAGAATTAAGGACCTTTTGTGCAAGTTAGTGTTTGTATTTCGTCTATCCATTTTTTCACCCGACTAGTCTGAAATTGCAGTAGGGGGTGCAGTGCCATGATATAAAGCCACAAAAATTTAAATAGAAATTAGCAATTTTTTTTTTCTAATTTTAAAACTTCACGTTGTTTTTTGAATAATTAAAAATTTGTCGTGAATTTGTCCTTATGACATTTAGCCCACAATTGGAGGATAATTAAATCTCATGGTGTGCGTGGGTCATAGTAGGTATCTTACCGGTTTGATGCATGATGCCATTTTTGGTAATATTAACAAGGAGAATGAATAACTGAAAAAAAAAAAAAATATGGAGTGGGGTGGTCTTGTGGGGTATTAGCTGAACTTCTTACTCTAAAATTAGATGTTTGAATTTTGGAGTCTTTATTGGGGCTCAGTGGTTGACTGTTATATTAGTCTAGTTAGGTTTATTCTCGAGACGAGTAATGAGCAAGGTCAGGGGACTCAGGATTCCACCGGTGAAGGCATACTGGGATGGTTTCTGGGTGTTCTCTTTTGCCCCCTTCCATCTTTTTTTGATTATCAAAAAAAGAATAATTGGAAAAAAAAATGGGAAAACACCTTAAGTTCCCTAATAAAAAATTGCAACGCTCGGTTACCAGATGTGTTATTTGATAAATTAATTGACAAAATTTCAAAAAATGTCGCCAAATACATAGTCATAGCTCTAATTGCCTCCATAAATTTAAAGTTGATAATTTTAATCTCCAAATACAAGTAAATTCTCTCAATATCAATATTATAATAGTTATTTATTCATCTCCGATTTTCAAATATTGTAATTATAATCTTTGCTCAGAAATTCAACTGAAAATTAATTAAGTGACGAAGTATATAATATGAAAGGAAGTAATATGCTCAACGACAAAAATAGATATAATTGGATATCAAATAGCTCAAGGATCACTTAAATATCAAATATCTCAATTAGTCAACAATTTTATACAAAGTTATATTCCACATGTCACATGCCAAGCGAGACTTGAACGTAAACTTAACACCTCATCAACTATCCCACCCCAGTCGATCGCATGAATCTTTTGGACTGCAATACAATGGATTGTTGACTACCACGATCTAGTTTCCAATCCGCACGAAACATGATCAACATACTTATCATACTCACAAATTGGAATTAAGAAATCATGACAGATCAATCAGAGAGAATACAAATCAAAAACTAATAAAGAATTACTCTTTGTAAAGAGATATAAGAAAGTGTATATTGTATATTACCCCATATCTCAAATTAACAATTGCTTCTACAAGATAAATACCTCAAGTCACCCAAAACATCATATTCAAATCTCATTTAAATTAGATGGTGATTAATCATTTGATTCTTGCATGATTCTCACAGCCTTCTCTATACTTTTTATATCACCATATCTCCAAAATCCACTTTCTTGTGTTTTCCTATAGTTTNGGTGATTAATCATTTGATTCTTGCATGATTCTCACAGCCCTCTCCATACTTTTTATATCACCATATCTCCAAAATCCACTTTCTTGTGTTTTCCTATAGTTTTTGTTAGGAAAATATTTGTAATTGGCTAATTTCATAAAGTGTTGATGTAAATCTCAACCTAATTCCATGGTCATGATGTTTCAAAAATCAAGATATGTAAGCATCAAATAAGGGAGGAGTTCAAGCTACAAAATCTTATCAAGAGTTCTTCGATGCACCTTCAAGTTTAGGACAAAGGTAATATGACTTAAAGGCCAAAAACCCCTTGATTTAATTTTAGACTCAAGATGATTAGAATTATAAAATGGAATTGGAAAATCTGTGAATGACTTTTAGGTTTTTCAATGAAAAGTTTTTCTAAACCCTAAATGAGTTTTGAAAACATAGAATGAGCCATGTATTGGATTCTACTTGAACAACACCCTTTGTGCTAAAAAGGACTAGTTTTTCCTTGATTTTCTCTTTAAAATCAGTAGGGACCGCCTTTTGCATGCTTGCTTTCAGCTAGAATGGTCTCTGAATGCTTAGGGATAAAATCGGAGGAGGCTGATGAGTTGGGCAGTAGAGATCGCCCTTTGGCCGCTCTTAGGCTACTCGAGCGATCTGCAAATAACTCAATGGTATCTACTCCACTGTTATGGTTTGAATTCTTTTTTCATTCTAGCACCAACCACCCTCTTGCTCGAGTTGCTATTCACAAATTGTAGTTTACTTGGACTCCAAGGTTAACCTAATTTTGGGCCTATAAATAGGGTAAGC